GGAAGATCAGCCTTGAGCTAACATCCATGCCAATCCTCCTCTTTTTGCTGAGGAACACCGGCCCTGAGCTCACATCTATTGCCAATCCTTCTCCTTTTTTTTTTTTTTTCCCCCTTTTTCTCCCCAAAGCCCCAGTAGATAGTTATATGTCACAGTTGCACATCCTTCTAGTTGCTATATGTAGGATGCCGCCTCAGCATGGCTGGACAAGTGGTGCATTGGTGCGCGCCCAGGATCCGAACCCCCGGCCGCCAGTAGTGGAGCGCGCGCACTTAACTGCTAAGCCACGGGGCCGGCCCCTCCTGAAGTATTTTGAAGCAAATCTCTGATATGTCATTTTGCCTCTATGTAATCCAGTATATATTTATTTTAAAAAGAATGTTCTCTTTCATAACCATATTGCCATTATTGCATGTAACAGGATTAACAGTAATTCTTTGGTCTCATCTGTCCATATTCAGATTTCCTTGATTGTCTCAGAATGACCTTCATAATTGGTTTATTCAAATCAGGATCCAAACAAAGTCTGTAGGCTGCATTTGGTTGTCTGTCCTTTTATGCCTGTTTTAATCTGGAGCAGCCCTCCCTGCTTTTAATCAGCCATTACCCTGTTTTATGTGCCCATCTGGCCACTGGACAGCGAACGCTTGGAGCCTGGAACCCACTTCTCTGCCACGCTGGATCCCGGTGCTGTGTCTGGGACGGGGCGGAGGCTCGCCCGGCATCTGTCCGATTGTGTCATAGCCACTCAGGAAATGCGTTTTGAATGAATGAACCCTGTAGTGGGTTTGTGTGAGTGCCCGTGCCTGTGTTTAGATAAGAGGTTTAAAAAAAAGATGACTCGCTCGCATGTGGACGTTTCCTCGGCGAGCGTCAGTCTGTAAACATCCTGAAATAATAGGACAACTATTTGCTGCGCTCACCGCGCTGCTCCGTTTTGTGGTGGGAGCCCAGACAGCTGCCTTTGTGCCCAGATCAGCAACTGGCCTCCCCAGATCACACGTGGGGCTGACAGGGACTGAGGTCATTGCTGCCGAGCTTTGAATCCTGACTTATTCAGCCACACGGATTGCCACGTTATGACCCAGGCACTTGGCGCTGGGGCTGCTTGGAGAACACAGCCCATCTCTCTCTTGGTCCTTCTCTTTCTGGGCAGTGCGTCTTCCCTTGTGCCTTCAGGAGCCTTCTCTAACCTGCCTCACACCTGGGTGAGTTGTGGAGCCCTTCTCAGTTGTTATTCATCTGCAGCTGGTGGGTCAGGACAGAAAACGTGACCTTTCAGTGTCTTGTCTGAATTTGTGGGGAAGAGAGAGTATTACCACTGGCGCCTTTGTGGGTGTCCTAACGAAGGAGACCAGAGGCTCAGGAGGGGAGGAAAAGGTGTGCTCCTCCTCTTGGTAATGCACTTCTCACCTGGTTTCCTTGTCAAGTCTCCTCAAGGTGCTGGGCACTCTGAAGACGTCTTCTGACCCACCCAGCAAGGACCCCTCTCTGCAAACAGCCCTCACATGGAGACTTTTTAAAAAAAATTCTCTTTCTCCTCCTCCTCCTCATTCTCCTTCTTAAACATAGACAGTTTTTTCCACTAGGCAGAAATATAACAAAATGTTAAGTCTTTCTGAATGCCAGGGCTAGAGTTGATTTTTTTCCTTTATCTTTTACTTCTCAGTATTTTTCCAAAATTTTTATAATAAAAATACTTTTCTAATGGAAAATCCAAATATTTGGGGTTTTTCCCTTAAAAAAAGAACTTCCATCAACTGATTTGGATGGGTAGACAAAATTATACACGCATTTGGTACAGCTATATGTGTGGATAAGGTCCCAAGGCCATTGGGATTTTTTTTGCTTATATTATTGATTTTATGACATTAGTTTACAGAACATACCTGTACTTCCTAAAAGTTAGAAAGTAAAGAAAGCTGGGCTTAGGAGATGGGAAGCTCTGAAACCCTGTAGCCTCCCCCTCTCCCATTCTACCTCCTCCCTTTCCTTCTGGAGAATTTCATTTAGGTTTCCCCAAAGTGAAATCGTTCTCATATTAGGCTCTTGATTTTGATTTCTTTATTCAGGGAGGCTGAGATATCAGAGGAAGACAGAATGACACTGTGTGTTAGGGCAGGCAGGGCAAAGCTACAGGTTCCAAAGGCCTGTCTTGTCCTCGTGGGAAAGTGCCTGATAGCCAAACACCCCGCCCCCTCACTTTGGGGGGCCCTGACCCCTCCCTCCACCATGTTCTGTTTTCCTCCCTGCGTCGTCCCCAGAGCCAGACAACATGGCTGGTCTGCGCTGATAAGGCTCCTCCTTTCTGAGCACTGATCATCTGGTCTCAGAAACTCAGAGCTGGCTGCGGTGATCGGAGACATGGGCCCTCTGGTCACAGACAAACCTTCATTGCAGGATTGGGTCCCCGTGGAGTCTGATGTTTGAGATGCTTCCCTTCTCTGTCAGCTGTTGAGGGATTATCCATCCCTGTGTTCCACATGAAGAGCCTTCTGTGAGTACCAGGTATGGTGTCATTTCTCAAATGGGATTGCTCTGTACCCGTCCATGCATCTAAATGTTACTACTCATCACGAGGAAACCAGTCCTGTCTCCATGGTGGCTGGCAGGGAGTTGTGTGTGTACATGGTGCTGGTGTACTTAGGGCTGGGGTTTTTAGTGTGTTCTATATGTGCACTAGTGTTTCTCTCCCCTGAGGGTCAGCATAATTTCCCACCCTAATCCCCTCCTCCCAGGGGCTCTCCAGATACCTTGCAGCACCTGCATTCCTCCCAAGGCTCGGGCAGATTTCTCTCTGGGGAAAACAGAGGTAAGGGCAGGCCCAAGAACAGGGACTGCTTTCTGGCTCCTTTTCCTCCTTCCTGGGCAGTGAGGGATGTCCAGTATAGATGTCTTTTCTGCTGACAGCAACAGAAGGGCAACAAGGAGTTGGACGGTGGCCCCTGGTCCCTGAGCTGCCACAACAGCAGGTTTCTGGGACATTTGCAGGCCCGAGCTCCTGACACATGCCGTCCAGAAGCCCAGCCATGCCAGAGACAGGAACGGGAGTCTCAGAACATCCTGTTCTGGCCTTGCCACCGGGTATCCGTGTGTTAAGATGCGGAAACTACTTCTTTGCTTTTGTGACTCTGAATGGCTGGCCTTGGCTACTCATCTGAGTACTGACTGTGTCTGGTAAAGATTTGCAGGATCTCAGGGTTCAACTTGTGCTGGGGGCCAGGAGAATGAGGTAAGGGAGGATGAAGAAGTGCCTGGAAAAGAGTCACTTGGACCTTTTGGTCACTAAGGAGAGCTTCTCCTGGAGGAGAGTGGGCCCAGGGTCTGCTGGGGGCCTGGCAGAGCTGCTGGCCCCTCTGTTGGACAGCTGTTCATGGCTGCTGTGTAAAGTCAGGGTGCTGATGGCTCTGCGTATCAGGACAGCTGGGCTTTTGCACAACTTGACGCAAAGGTGATAAGAGTTAGAGCTCCTTGCTTGGAGGAGGGAGGAGTCTGATGGCCGATGAAAGGGAAAACAGAAGAGAGGACTAAGCAGGGGGATCGGGGCCTCTTTCTAGACCCTCAGGAGAAGATCAGTCAACTTTTTCCTCAGGAAATGTCCTGTGGGGCTGATGCAACTGGTTGGGGCCTTGGGGACTATGGGACCCATCCTAGGAGAGCTTCTCGGCCGTCTGCCTGGAGTTGCAGCACATTGCTGTTGTGAAGGAGCAGGAGGCTCTGGATGAAGTCTCGGGCTTCTTCTGGATTCCAGGCTTGCTGCAACCAGGACTTCCTGCTTGGTCCAGGTTTCCTTCTCTAGCTCGGGTGTGTCTGTTATCCTGGACCTGACATCTTGGACTCTCTTAAAAATGACTCACCCACCCACACAGACATACATAGATGCATAATACTCACCCCCCCACACACAGATGATGGTACTCACCTCTGCACATTCATAGGTGATGGTACTCACCCCCACACACGTGCATAGATGATGGTGCTCACCTCCCCACATGCATAGATGATGGTACTCACCCCCACACACA